TTAGCCTGATGTTAGCCTGATGTTAGCCTGATCTTAGCCTGATGTTAGCTTGATCTTAGCCTGATGTTAGCCTGATCTTAGTGTTGTTGTGTAGCTGTGTGCAGAGCTGTTTGCTATGAGCTGTTGTCCATAAAGTTGTTACCGTCCATGCAGACCTCATAGTTTCAGCTGCAGTTGTCCTCGTGGCATCAAAACTGTTCTGCCTCTATCACGAGAATTTCACTTGCACTCTTCAGAAATTTGGAAGCTGAGTCCACGATTAACGGCCGCTTCATACGTCACTTCTTCTAGACAGCGAGTGAATACATTTAAATACTCTCTCGTAAACACTCTGCTCGTCTGTGGAGTTTCTCTTGCTGCCTCACGTTGGTGGAAAGTTAACAGATGAGACAAACAGCCTGTTTGTTACTTTGCTTTCTACTGTCGAACCTAAAATACGTTTCACACACTGCTGTCGTGTTCGTCTGATCAGCAGAGCAAAACAACGGAACCTTTCTGACTTTGTCTGTAGGTCAAGAGGGTCTGCAATAGTTCAAGTCACAGTGAGAGCCCTCTGCTGGATCACGAGGCAAAGTACTGTGCTTGTAATTCATGTTTTGAAATTGATTTAGTCTTTACTGGTCGAATATGAACTTTTCCCCAACGTTCAAATGAATGTTTTGAATTTCCAATAAAAAACGAAAGCCCTGAATCTTCGTCACAACGACATCACTAAGCAGTGAACATGTATCTGTCAGCAGTGTCGGGGCCGGAGCGGGGCCCAGCCTGAGGCGCAGCCGGCGTGGTGATGGTGTTGAACTCAGGTGACGTCTTCATGGATCAGGTCGAGGGTCAACGTGTCGGGAGGAACGGGGACCTGTTGGAGCCAGATGTCAGAGCAGGTCCACCAAAAACCACCATCGGCTCTGCCACAGCACCCAGATCGTCGGCCAAGAGTAGCAATGTTGCGAAGAAGGAGAAGGTGTCCCACAACGGACTCCCAGCCCAGTCCACCAGCACCCCGGTCGAGAGGAGGTCATCATCATCATTAAAAGGTGGGGCCGAGCCCAGACCCCCGCTCCGCCGTCCCCTCAGCCTGGATATGACGCCCCAGCGCCTGCGAGGGTCTCAGGAGCAGATTGCGTCCAGGCGGATATTGCAGCCTCCTTGGCGCAGCGGATCTGCCGCCCCCTCCCCCCCGGCACGCAGCCTGACCAGCCCCAGTCTGGGTGCAGGTGGCTGGATGCGGCGCAGTGAAAGCACCTGCTCAGTCAACTACTCCCTGGGGAACCGGGCAAGCAAGGGGCAAATGCGACCTGCCACCTCACTGCCCCACATAGCTAAACGGGTGGGGGGCACGACGCTACCTACGTTCTCCAGGCCGTGTTTGCTCATTGCACTCAGACCTCTGAACTTGGAGCAGGAGAAGCTGGCGTTCTTTCAGTCCGACTACAAGCACGAGCCTCAGTTTGAGTATACCCAGCCTGAGCCGAGGAGCATGCTGGAGAAGTACCAGGACGGCTCGGGCCTCTTCCTCCAACAGGTAGGGTTCAACCGGATCAACTAAGACTGAGACATGATGATGAAGGTGATGATGAGGATGATGATGACTTCTCTGTTTCTCTGCAGGCCGTTGGAATCATGGAGTGCGTCCTGAGGAAGTTTGGCTCCTATGAGAACTTTGAGGAGGTGACGGGTGGTAACGTGCTTCCTAAGAGTCAGGTCTGGGCTGCTGTCCGTAAATACCTGCAGAAAGAAGGCTGTGTGGGAGAGGTGAGTCCAGAGACTACAGGTCAGCGCTGGCTGTGTAGGTCTGGGAAAGAAGTTTCATTGGCCAACACAGGATGAAGGTGATTTGTGTTACTCTGAAAGTTCAGCCACGCTAAACTTTCTTTTTATTTAAACCAGGAGTTTGTAGAATCCTTTTTGTTTTTGGGGTCTTGTTCTTTAAATGACCTGCAGAGAAGCACAGACACGTGTGGTCTGAGAAATCATTATTTTCATGGAACATGATTCTTCAGATCGTCTGGGGGAGTTAATGAAACGTCACAAGAGATGATGAGGATGAAGATGAGGATGATGAGGACGATGTCCTCTGTGTGTTTGTGTCTTCAGGTGGTCGTACGTTTGTCTGATGAGCTGCTGTCTCAGGCGGTGATGGTGGTGGAGAGCTGTCGTCCCACTCTGACCATTAACCTGGCGAGGGCTCGGCAGCACTGGCTGGAGGGGATGCTGCGACATGAGATAGGTGAGAGAACGTTTGTGTTCCTCCTCCAGAGAAGATACAGAGAACTGAGGAGGGTCGGGTTTCTCTAGAACTTCTTGAGGTCTCGACCGGTCTCTGCACTGCTCGTTAATGAGATCATCATCTAGCTGCACAATCCTCGTAGGTATTGGTTTTTTCAGCACAATGTATTTGTACATGTTGGTTTGGAGCAAACAGATGATCCAGCTGTGGAGCCTGAAGCTGTGATGTCAGAGTCCTATCTTAATAATTCCTCAGCTCCTAACCTGGAAGGTAGAACGACACAAGACACTGACACGAGGCGTTCGGGGGAAGTGGGTCATCTCGTGTCCACTAACCTTTATGTGGAATTTTCTTTTGTCCTCACTGGTTTCAGTTAAGAGATATTTTAGACGACAGTTTGCCTCCAACCTTCTGGCTTCAGTTTCAACTCGACACAGTTCCGTGAAGAAAAGACTTCACCAGTCTGATGTGTCAGTAAAGACAGACGACCACTTCCTCCAGGAGAAGACACGAGTGCCTCCATCTTGATTTTAAACGTTTTCTGTTCAGATATTCAAACTAACTTTAGCTGCCATCTGGCGGTGATGACCCTCTCAGTCTGTGCAGTAGTGATTGAGGAGGAGCTGCAGTATCTAGGTCCCGCCCAATACATGCTCGCCCAATCAGGAGTTAGTCTCAATTAACTAATTAAACCAAACTGATGAGAAACACTTGAACAAACATCAGCGAGATGAGAACGAGCTGAAACGACAGAAACATCTTTGACAAACATTTAGTTAACGTCTACTTTGAGTTTTTAGTTTGGTCCATGTCCCATCTGCTAACATGGAGGAGGTTTATGATCTGTATTGCAGGCAGCCACCAGGGGGCCATTGAGGCTTCAATTTTGGGAGCTGTCATGTCGTCCATCTTTATTTCT